GCATTAACTCCTCCCATGCTTTTATCATGTCTCTCTCCATTGCACCAAAAATATGAAGTTATGGGGTGGGTTAAGAGTTATATTTTTATATCCTGACATGCTCTTGCACGTTGAGCATCCTTTTGATTTGATGAAAACTAGATTCACACAGCGAGTATCAAACTTTTTTATAAAATTGGCATTACATTCATGGCCAGTGAGATTTGATCCTGAGTTGCTCTGCTACTATGTGAAAGTTCTTAACCATTGCATCAAAACTCCGAAGTATGGCAAAGAATGATGAATATATTTTTATATCCTAACACTACGGAATCTAATCCTAGGGCAGTGTGGTTTGCATCTTGAATTTACAGAGCTATAAATACGAGAATCACTAATGAGATTGTTTTTTTAATAAATAATATAACTATTTATGCTTTCTAATTTAAAATATCACAAATAAATATTCATGATGCATAATATCTCCGAAATAATAGTATTACCACATAGTCAAGTGTTGTGCCTCAAGGATCTTACAAAAAATAAATATTTACAGAGAGAAAAAAAAAAAGAACACTATAAGTCTCTATAACTAATCCAAGTTTTTTTTGAACATGTCAATATTTTATTTCACTTGCTTTCATGATTTGTCTCTGAGCTCCTTGCTTGAAATGTAAGTCTCTGTGCTTACAAACATGCTCTTGTCCTGCATGCCATGGTGGTCGTCATATTTCATGCTCATGGTTTGAAAATTCAACAGGTCGAATATATAATCATATACACAGAGGATTTATAGATTATAGAATTATATAATATAAAACAAAGATGAGTTTATGCTCAAGTGCTTGTCAATAATAGTTTTGCACGCTCAGGACAACAAACTCTACATCAAATAGAAGGCTCATCTAACAATGGAAAACAATACAACTTACCAAATTAAGATTTAACCTCTCTCGCAATTTTCCCTTTGTGCAAGTGAATCCTCGATTATAGATATCCTAATTTCTTATAGCCAAAGTTTAAGATGAGGGAAGTCAGCTACATACGTTTCAAGGGCACGGAACTCTCAAATATAAATGCTGATCGCAAATTGTTCCTCCTTAGCTATCACTTGTGTCCGTTTGCTCTTGGGTTCACAGTAAACAAATTTATGGACAGAGCTGTCCTTTTCTACCTTCATCAATATTTTGCCGTCTTCATCAACCATCAAAGGGATAGCAGACATGAGCAAGTGACAACGCAAAGGGGAGAGATCACTATCGTATGCTGCATCACCCATTTGCTCATAGTCCCTCAACATCCATAGATGCATACGCTTCCGTGAACGTAATTTGTGTGGCAGGCATGATGGAATTTGAAGAACACAACCCTCTACACAAAGGAAACTTTTATTAATAGAACACTAGGGAGTACAATACTTGCTCTTACAAGAGCACCTCACTTTCACACAACTTTTTATTTTGGTGAACACTCACACAAGCCTACACTACACACTCAAGCTTTCAAGCTTACTTCTTGCTTGCTTCAAATGAGAGCCCAAGACCCCTATTTATAGTTGCTTAAGAGGGCTAGGAAGTGTGTAGAAGAGTTAATCCTAGCCATACATTACTAAGAAGTTTCTAGAAGAATAAATACTAGCCATACACTTGTATCTTCCTAGAAACTTCATGGTAGATATTTTGTAGGATGTTACTAGAAAGAAGTTCTAGAAAGTTGTTCTAGAATAATCTAAGTTGGTGAGGAATTCTAATACTCCCCCTCATCACCAACTTTCATTTCTCACAAGTCCAAGCTTCTTCTTAAGCTTAAAAAATATTTCTGTCTTTAGTGGCTTGGTGAAGATGTCAGCGATTTGGTCTTCAGACTTGCAATATGTCAGCATCATAGTCTTCTTTTTAACTTGATGTCGGATAAAATGATATCTTGTCTCTATGTGTTTGCTTCGTCCATGTGCTACCGGATTTTTGGCAAGTGCAATAGCTGACTTGTTGTCAATGAGAATCTCTGTTGGTGCTTCTTGTTGGTGTTGCAACTCCTTCATTAGATTTCTAAGCCATATCGCTTGACATGCACCTGCAGATGCAGCAATGTATTCCGCTTCGCAACTTGATAGAGCAACAACTGACTGCTTCTTTGATGACCAAGAAAAGGCTGCTGATCCAATACTGAACATGTAGCCGGATGTACTTTTTCTTTCATCCAAGTCTCCCACATAGTCACTGTCGGTGTAACCGACTAGTCTTGGATCTACACTTTGTGAGTAAAATAATCCTTTATTAATACTTCCTTGAACATACCTGAGAATCCTCTTGGCCACCTTGAAGTGTTCTTGCCTTGGCTCCTCCATGAATCTGCTCACCAGTCCAACCGCAAACATTATGTCGGGTCTTGTGATGGTCAGGTACCGTAGGCTTCCGACTAATCTCTTATACAAAGTTGGATCAATAGAGATTCCTAGTGAGTCTCTCCTCAGCTTCACTCCAACTTCGACAGGAGTTGCAACTGGTTTGCAGTTGTTCATGTTGAACTTCCGAATGATCTCCTTTACGTACTTTTTCTAAGAGATGAAGATTCCTTTCTCAGATTGCGACACTTCTACTCCAAGAAAGTATGACATTTCTCCAATGTCAATCATCTCGAACTCCTTGAACTCCTCGAACATTTTTGGATTGTTACCGGTGAAGATCATGTCGTCCACGTAGAGACATACGATCATAATGTCTTCATCCTTCTTCTTGGTATAGAGAGAGTGCTCATACGGACTCTGCTGGAATCCGTTCTTCTGGAAGTATGCATCAATTCTAGCATTCCATGCTCTGGGTGCTTGCTTCAGTCCATACAATGCCTTCTTCAGCTTATAGACCTTGTCTTCTTGATTCTTCATCACGTACCCAGGTGGTTGCTCGATGTAGACTTCTTCTTCTAGATAGCCATTAAGAAAGGCTGACTTCACGTCCATGTGATAGATCTTCCACCAGTTTTGTGCTGCCAATGCGATAATGAGTCGAATGGTGTCGATCCTCGCGACTGGTGTGAACACTTCTTCATAGTCAACTCCTTCTCACTGGCTATAGCCCTTTGCAACAAGCCTGGCCTTGTACTTCTCGATTCCGCCGTCTTGATTTGTTTTTGTCTTGTACACCCACTTTACTCCAATGGGTTTATGGCCTTCAGGTAAGGAGGTGAGCTCCCATGTGTCATTTCTCTTGATTGCCTCAATCTCATCATCTATGGCTTTTCTCCACTTGTCTTCTTGAGCAGCTTTTTCATAGCTGACCGGATCACATTCTGCAAATAAACAGAATAGTGTGTAGTCATCCATCATCTCAACAGGCTCTGTATCGTCATACAGATCTCTTAGGCTTCTCATCCTCCTTGTTGCTCCCCCTGAAGAGCTTCCTTCACTTGAGCTGGATGGTGATGATGTCGGTGTCGATGTTGAGGTTGATGGAGCTGGACTATTTGGTGGACTTTGTTCTGGTCTTCCAACCTCCTGCAAGTCATCATCATTATCTTCAAAGAACATACATTTAATGTTTTTGTCTTCATCGGTCCATTTCCAATAATCTTCTTTATCGAACTCCACGTCTCTTGAAATGATTATCTTCTTTGTAATTGGATTGTAGAGCTTGTGTGCTTTTGTCCTCCTCTCGTACCCAATGAATATGCACTTTTCTCCTCGATCGTCCAGCTTCTTTCTTTTCTGCTCTGGGACGTGTGCATATGCAATGCACCCAAACACCTTCAGGTGGTTGACGCTTGGTATGATGTTGCTCCACATCTCTAATGGTGTCTTGAACTTTACGCTCTTTGTCGGACATCGGTTGAGGAGGTAAACTGCACAGTCCACGGCTTCAGCCTAATAAGTCTTCGGCAGGTACTTGATCTTCAACATGCTTCTGACCATATCAAGAATGGTACGATTCTTCCGCTCTGCTATGCTATTATGTTATGGTGTGTAGGCGGCAGTGAGTTGATGAATTATCCCGTACTGCTTGTTGAAATTGTTGAATGCCTTCGAAGTGTATTCTCCGCCTCGATCTGATCGGAGCACCTTGATGTGGTACCCACTTTGCTTTTCTACCATCTCCTTGAATTCTTTGAATTTCTCTAGGGCTTCGGATTTCTCCTTCAAGAAATAAACCCATGTTTTTCTGCTATAATCATCAATAAATGTGAGAAAGTACCTATTTCCTCCAAGAGAGACGACTTCAAATGGTCCTGCAATATCTGTGTGGACCAATTGTAGCAACTCTGTTGCTCTTCTTGACTTTCCAACTTCGAAACTTCTTCTATGTTGCTTGCCCTTCATACAACCTTCACATAGCTGGTTCGGATGATTGATTTGCGGCAATCCTTTCACCATTTTCTCCTTCCACAGAAGATTTAGGCCACTGAATGCGAGATGCCCGAATCTCAAATGCCAGAGCCAAGACTCATCCTTCATAATCATCTTTAAGCACTTGATAGGGTCAGTATGAATATTTAAGGTAAACAGTCTATTTCGAGACATGTTCACCTTTGCAATTACTTTATTTTTATTCTTGATAGTGAGGGCAAGGTCTTTTAAATGTATATCATAGCCTCTTTCAAGGAGCTGGCCTAGACTCAAAATATTATTTCGTAGTGCTGGAACATAATAGACGTCAGAGATGTACCTATTCTCGCCCGTCTTTGTCTGGATCATTATCTTGCCCTTGCCTTTCACTGGAATCTTTGATTGATCTCCAAAGGTGACATCTCCTTGTACCGTCTCGTTCAGCTCCACCTGAATCTAGATATCAGATATCTTTATTCTTGCTTTCGCTCTCCTGGTATGTCAGCAGGACTGTTGAAGTGTCTGGCTGCTCCCTTTCTACAAAGTTACTTCTTTCTGCCACTTGATTTGATTTCTCCCAATATTCGTAGCTGAGATGACCGTATCTCTTGCACTTGTAACACTGTGGCTGAGATTTGTCCTCCTGGTATTTTCTTCCTTGCCCTCGTCCTCGTGCGCCACGACCTCGTCCTCGATCAAACGATCATTCACGATCTCCATTTCGATCTTGATTTTCATGACCTCCTTGGTACTGTCTCCTACGACCTTGTTGGAAGTTTGAGCCACCTTGAAAGGAGCCTCTGCCTCTGTAGTCTCCACGTCCTCTTCGACTATCTTCTTTGATAGTCATCTTACTTTGCAAGGATTGTTCTAGATTCTCCGCTTGATTTGAACTAATGTTTATATCTTGTTCATAAGCTTGCAGAGAACCTTGCAGCTCATCAATAGAAACTTCGGAAAGATCTTTAGACTCTTGTATTGCCGGAATAATATATTTGAATTTAGAGTCTAAAGTCCTAAGTATCTTCTCGATAATTCTTACATCATTAATTGCTTCTCCATTTCTCTTCATTTGATTAGTTATTGTCTGAACTCTACTAAAATAGTCTGATATTGATTTTGTAGCTTTCATCTTCAAATTTTCAAATTCAACTCTTAATGCTTGGAGGCATACCTTTTTGGCTCTTTCCGCACCTTGATAGGATTTTTGTAAAATCTCCCATGCTTCTTTAGAGGATAGGGTGTTGGAAATCTTCTCAAACGCTGATTCATCTACGCCTTGGAATATTAGGAACAATGCCTTTTTGTCTCTTTTTCTAATCTCCTTCAGCTCACTCTTCTGTGTAGCGGTGAGAGTTGCTTCTACTGCAGGTGACTCTGGCTCAGTGTAGCCATTCTTCACGAGCTCCCACAAGTCTTGCGAGCCGAGCAAGACTTTCATCTGGATACTCCAGTTGTCGTAATTGGTCTTCATCAGCTTCGGAATCTGTGGCTGGATCATGTTCGCCATCTCGTACACGAGCACCTTCGATTGGCCCGGCTAGATCGAACTTTGCTCTGATACCACTTTGATGGAATTTGAAGAACACAACCCTCTACACAAAGGAAACTTTTATTAATAGAACACTAGGGAGTACAATACTTGCTCTTACAAGAGCACCTCACTTTCACACAACTTTTTATTTTGGTGAACACTCACACAAGCCTACACTACACACTCAAGCTTTCAAGCTTACTTCTTGCTTGCTTGCTTCAAATGAGAGCCCAAGACCCCTATTTATAGTTGCTTAAGAGGGTTAGGAAGTGTGTAGAAGAGTTAATCCTAGCCATACATTACTAAGAAGTTTCTAGAAGAATAAATACTAGCCATACACTTGTATCTTCCTAGAAACTTCATGGTAGATATTTTGTAGGATGTTACTAGAAAGAAGTTCTAGAAAGTTGTTCTAGAATAATCTAATTAAGTTGGTGAGGAATTCTAATAAGGCATAGCTGTCCATCGAGCTCCGTCATGAAAACTTCCTCATAAGTTTCCAGCGAAGTGAAGCTTCCTGATCGCGATGGAGTTTGAATCACCAACCGCTCCTCTTGCTTGAGATAAAACCGATGCATACCATTATTGTTAGTCTAAGCATAGACCCAAAGCTGAAGCCGAAGCTGGAATCAAGAAGATGAAGCAAAACGAGTGAAACAAGAAAACTACAGAACGGTCGACCGCGGTGCTTTCGGCGGTCGACGGCGAGTCGTGTTGGCAGTTTCCTAATTTGTTTTGAATTCTGTTTGAGCTCGGATTCATATATATACCTATATATTTCTAGGGCTAAATAGGGACGTGAAAAACCATCAGAAGAAAAGAAAAGAGAGAGAATCTCAGAGAGATTAATCCCTTATTTAAGTGCTTGTATTCCTTCTTCAATTAATCAAAGAGATTGTGTGGTGTGGCTCCCGAGGACATAGGCACGTTGCTGAACCTCATTAAATTCGTGTGTTCTCTCTTGTTCTTATTTCTGCAAGTTTTTATCTTTGATTTGTGGTAAATTTCTTTCTTGCTCAACTTTCTAATAATGCCCGGAAGGGCAATGGTTCGATTTGATTGTTTCGAATCCCCAACAACTAGTATCAGAGTTTCGTTCAGTAATTTATGAGAAAGTCATGGCAGAGGAAATCGAATCTAATATCGAGAAGTTTGACGGTTCAGACTTCGCCTACTAGAAATCGCAGATGGAGAACTATCTGCACCAGAAGGACTTGTATCACCCGTTGATGGGTAAGGATAAGGGACAGAAGAAAGAGGAGTCAAACGAGATTTGACATTTTCTTATATTGGAGATTTGACATTTTGTTTCATAGCAAATAGATATTTCAAAATTTCATACTTGAAGATATTGCAATATTTCATACTTGCAATTGTTACAACCCTCTCTCAAGAAAGATGAAGTCATCATTGAATACACAAGAGAAATTTTTTTTATTGAACTTTGATGGACAAGTCTGTGTGGCATCAAACTTTCTCATAGTTTATCCTCTTAGAGTTTGGAGGTTGTTGAAGACTTTTTTTTCTTTCTAAAATGAGATGATGTAAGAGCATTGATTTCAATTTGTATTTTCGGCCTGCCCAAGACTGCACATAAGTCTGCATTTGTTTTGGCCATAACTTTGTCCAGAAGGCTCCAAATGCCCTCTCGTCTGTGTTTTCGAGGAAAGTTGCCTTCATCATTGATTTCATTAAACTTTAGTCGTTACAAATGAATTCAAATAACAAAGAAATAAAAATTATAACTTTCTTGAAAATAAACGCAAGATCCGTTTATCGTCTCTTGCTTACGTGGGTCTTTGGCCTGTGACGGGGACGTCGATATCCATGGACTACCTACCTGGCACTCAGATCTGTTCCAAAAAAATCAGACAGAGCTTCGTTGATCCGCAAGAGATCTAGAAGCTTGAAGCGCCTATCTCGGCTAAAACGAGATATTTGCTCTTCTTAGGATTACCGGCGAAGGGTAATACTAAGGAATGGGCACGGGTGATGAAGAATCTGATGAAGACCTCTCATCTGTTGAAGCGCTCGACCACTCTTCACTGCAGCAGGGCTTCGCCAACTCTCCAAAAATCCAGATCCTCCAAAAATAAGGCCTAAGGTTGCTATTTATAGGCAATGGGGGCACCTAGGGTGCCTAGACACCCCTGGGGTGTCTAGGAAAAGCCTAGACCCCCCCTTGGTGCCTCGGCCAAACCGAGACACCCCTGGGGTGTCTCGGCCTGGCCGAGACACCCCCTGGGGTGTCTTGGCTTTGCCTAGACACCCCGGGTGTCCCAGTTCAGCTTGAGACGCTCCGTCGTGTATATTTGATTGTTCCGCCGTAGATTCTTTGTCCGAACTCGGATTTGAGTGATTCCAAGTGCGTTGGAAGCTTGACGAAGAGTTCTATCTGCTCTAATGGTTGGATTATCTGTAGAATGAACGATACCCGAAGGGCGTTGTTCTTTTTGTAACATCGCGGGGCTCTCGATTAGCTCGTGCCTTCGTTATCCCGAAATCCTATCAGCTCATGTAGTTCGTCGATTCACTTCAATCGTTCATCGACGTCAATCGAACTCCTGTGGATTGGATAGTGACGTTCATCGTCGCTCTTTAACACTGAACCGTTCGTGGAGACCTATAGGCAATTTTCGATGCCTACAGTCTGAAAATGATAGATCATATTTTGAGTCTAGTTTTGTATAAACATGACTTTACTTGAATTGAAGCTCTTTGATAGCTTTACTCATAGTTTATACTCTTAGAATTTGGAGTTTTTTTTTAGTTTATACTCATAAAAGTTTGGAGTGTCTTATAGTTTATACTCATAAAAATTTAGAGCGTCTTTGTCACCCCCCGCTTCCCAAAATACCAGGGAATCGGAATGTGAACAAGCCCGCGACGTATTAGACTGAGGAGAAATAAGTACTAGACCCCTTCTGCTCAATCTAATACGCTAAGCGTCAAGCAAATATAAAGCGAAGGCACAAGTCCCCGATCACAGTAGCGTAATACGCTAAGCGTCAAGCAAATATAAAGCGAAGGCACAAGTCCCCGATCACAGTAGCGAGAATATAACAAATAACTTAGAACAAAATAATACATATCACATCTGAAACATCATCCCGGACATAATATTCGGGCCAAAATGCCCTTATACAAAACTATCTGAATGAAATACTAGAAAAATATAAAATACAACGATCCAGTAGAAAATAAAAGTACTACAAAAGTAAACTAGGGTCATCAACTAACTAAAAGAGGTAACTAAGCTTCGACTTGTTCTTTTGCTCCATCTACAAAGCCTTCCTGCGGAGGATCCTCTGGCTCCTGTACTACTCCGAACTGTAGCTGTCCATCCTCTAAATTTGACGTACATCCCGAGAGGAAAGGAGTACGTCAGCGTGCATCGCACACGGCAAGATCCCTAAAGGAAGAATAGAAACGGTCGTGCGACCAATGCAATAATAGTAATAACAATGGAAACATGCAACTGAAATACTAATAATCTAAATATAATTTACTATTAGAATAGAATAATCAGAATAAATCCAAGCAAATCAACCAAGTAAGAAGTCGATCATGCCGCTAGCGATCAGAATAATCATCCAAGTACAGAGTCATACACTAGATGGAATTAATACTTAAAAATCTACAACTCGAAACGTAGTACGTCGAGCGAAATAATCCAAACAAGAAAACCCTCATGTATATACCATACGTCTCGAATTGTAGATAATTAAATATTAATCTCAATCTATGTATGAAAAGAAACATAATTGGTCTGTATCTTACAAGAATTCATACATAGCTAAGAATCAAGGTCATGTAACTATCCATCCTACAACAGGTCGCTGGTTCACATCTCACACAGAGTCAACGCTCATATCATCGGATAACTGACTGTTCATAAATCCCCTACGTGCACCCAATACGTCGCTACACAAGATCGGTCAGAGGGCTACACACAATCCGATTTTAGCCTGGTCCGAACTCAAGCTAAACTCGGGTGAATGTCAAAATCACGGACCAAAGTGACTACACAAGCTTCACTTGACCCAGCAAACCAACCCCAATGCTACACAAGATCATGGGGCAAGCCTGGAAGATACATCAACAGTCTTATCCGATCACATGAACACGGACTTTCCCATCCCAACTCTTCTCGTTTTGCTAAGTCAACACAACACATGTCTCTAGGTCATGTAAGGCTACTACGGTCATGACTATTAACGGTTCTCAAACACAACTAGAAATAAAGAATACAATTAATCATGTACGATAATATCAAGGCATATCACATAATTAAGAATCAGAAATCATAAAATTGTTCTAAAATAATAAATTTATTTATTTCAAGATAATTCCTTTTACAATTTAAATTTTTTAATTTAATTTCAAAATAATTCATTTTTTCAAAATAAGTTCTTTTCTCATTATAATAATTCTAAAAATAATCTTTTAAAATAATAAATTCATAAATTCAAAAATAATCTTTTTATAAGATAAATTCTCATTAATTCAAAATAGTCTATTTTCCTAAAATAATTTCTTTTTAAAAATATTTATCATTCTAAAATAATTTCTTCCACAAGATAATTTCTAAAAAATTATTATAATTTATTCTAAAATGATTCTTTTTCCAAGATAATTCCTTTTAAATTATTATAATTTTCCTAAAATGATTTTATTCTCAAATAAATTCTTTTTAATTAATATAAGTATCCAAAAATGATTCCACTATCGAAATAAATTCTTTTAATTTATCATAATTATTCTAAAAATACTAATTGTCATATTATTATGATTTATCTAATATTATTCATCAAACAATCCCATGCAGATAAATATTAACAAATATAAAATTATAGATAATTCATAATAAATACAAAATTTAGTTCTGAGCAAGTGGGATCTTGCCTTGGGTATATCGTGAACCGTAAAGGGGGTCGTCGGGGTGGTTGCACAGTGTTACGATGGGTTTCGCGGAA